AAGGTCAAAACACAGAAGGATTCCAGACTGCTTCCCATACTGTGATGGGCAGAAGCCTATATTCTTGTTTGGACCACTGACCCTGCATGACCAGGCATCTCTGGAGTGACCAATACCCCCTGGAGACCTGGGGTCCCTCCAGAGGTGGAAGCTTGCTGACAGACCGTTGATGAGATGCACAACATCTTGTTTTGTTTTCTTTTCATTTCTTGAAAGTGAATGAGATCGGAAGGTAGGAGCAGAGTGGCTGCTGTCTGCCCACTCCATTTTGGAGGATGCCCCTAGGCCTGTTTTCAGTGACTTCCAGGTAGCAGAAATTTAGGGAACTCTGCCAGGTTGCCTGAGCTGTGTGGACAGGTTGCCCAGGCCTCCTGCCCACAGGTTTCCCCTCTCAAGCTCATCTCTCATTGTCCTTCAGCCCTGAGACCAAGCAGGTACCCACTGAGGCCTTCCAGTAGCAGGCCCCCAGGCCACCCATGCCTCCTTGTGTGGTCCTGAGATTCAAGCAACAGCAAGAGATTTTTTGTTTTTGTTTTTCCAATCAGGATACTGTTCAGGTGGGACACTCTGCTTGTCAATGCTTCATAGCTGGGAAGAGTTTGATGTTTAAGACACCAAGCCCTTCCCACCACTCAGAACCTGCACCTAAAGGAGACTGAGCCCAAGGTTGGTGAATGTGTTCACCCTTTGCTCCTCTCTCTCACCCCTCTCATTCCACCATCTCTCTTTCTTTCTCTTTGAGGGTTGGGTATGGAATACAAGGCCTCACCCATACTAGGCAAACAGTCTTCAACTGAGCTACATCCCTAGTCTCTTGCTTGATCTCTTAAAGTCTTGTCAAGAGCCTGTGTGAGGGCTGCAGTGTAGTTAGGCTGTTCTAATGGCTTCACCATCTGCTCACTGAAGCAGGACATCTGGGGTCACTGGGGGAAAAGTCTATCCAGTGTCTAGTAAGTTGTATGCCTTGATGATAAGAAGTTGCCTTCAGTGTACATATGCAAAGAAGGGGAACAGAAAGCTGGGGTGCAAAGGAACTTTTATTTTGTTAGTAAATGCACAATGTGGTCAATGTGGGGACCTGGAGTGTTGCATTAAAGAGGACCTGAAGTCAGGTCTGGGAAGGTCTGTCTGCCATGGAGAGAGCTATCCTGGTGGGGGATGGGACAGGAACAGGAATAAGGAAAGCATTTGTCATTTGCCCTCTCTGCTGTAAACTGACACCTTCTGTGTCAACACACAGTCTAAAAGCACCCAAGTGCCCTGGCCCTGGGGGAGAAGAACCTCAGGCCTGTCCAGTGGGCACTTCATTGTAATCCTGATGCTATTTGGGAACACCAAGAGATCTGCAGACTCCCGGATTCCTCTGTGTGATAAATCACCACGCTCTGTTTTCCAGAGAGATAAGCAGCATGATTTGTACAGAATAGTAAAGTCCCATCTTCCAGGAGCATTTCCTTTGCCTTACTGGCCCCAAGTGAAGACCGATTCCCTCCCCAGGGCCCAACTCCCTCTCCTTTCTTTGTTTCTCCTGTTCTTTTGACTTCAGAGTTCTTGTCTAAAACCCTGTTAGGACTTCTCAGACCCATTTCCTGGGTGACTTCAGGACAGAGATGTCCCTGATACCTCTTCTGTCATCTTCTGAGACAGCATGAGTATTACTGTTATTGAACTGGCCAGTGCCACCCTTCTCTGCCACATGGTTGCTAACAGCTAGCAAATCATGTTCTGGTTACACCCTCTTTTCATTTCACTAGTCCCTGGAGAAGTGGGTAGGGATGGGCTAGCCACCCTCACAGTTTAAAGAGAAGGTAGGAACCTGCCCAAGATTCTCTAAATCCCCATTTCTTTCCTTTGTCCCATCTTGTGGACCATAGACTAGATAGAATACCCAGGTGACTGGAGCCTCACACGAGAATTATCCTACCTCCAGTTCCAAGGTTACCAGTGGGGACAAAGCTGCCAACCTGGGACCAGCAAGGAAACTCAGAGTATGGTTAGGAACAGGTGACTTTGTAATCAGGATTACTGTGTGACCCCAGCAAGTGCCTTTTCTTGCCTGGGCCACAATGCTGCCTCTTGTTAAAGTGTGTGTGTCTGGGCAGGGAGGCACAGGGATGGATCTGGCCCAGCCTATTGGTCTAGTACCAGTCCTCTGGTGCCACCCTGTCACTTCTACCCACAACGCCATCTCACAGCCCATGTTATCTCAGGAAATTTGTAGTATTTGTTTCAAACAGCCATCTTGGGGCTGACCTCAGGCCAGCTGACTGCTAGACAAACAAACTGCCCAAGGCTGTTCACATTTATTGATCACTTATTGGGTACAGAGCCCACATGTTGAGCAAGTATGCTAAGGACAGAGAGAAGGAGAGATTTGCAAACCCACAGAGGCCACCCAGGCTTCCAAGAAATCCAATTTTGCTATCCTTTCATTTGCTTGTCTCTCAACCCACCAAATATTTCCCTATTGATCCATAGTCATGCACTAGGCTCTGGGTAGGAACTGCAAAGAGAGAGAGGGGAGAAAGAGGCAGAGGTGACCAGTTAAACAAGCACCCTCCTGGCATCAAATCATTCTGGAGGCCAGGAAGAGACCAGTGTCTCTTTCTAAGCAAGTGTTGGACAAATCTCAAGGTGAGAATGGGACAGAAGTGTCCTGTTTGGCCAACACCATCTTTCTACTTTTATCTTGTGGTTACCTGTCTGACCTCTACCGGAGTCTGGGTCTGCAATTTATACTAGGGGGGAAATGTCAGTATTTTTGACAGCATAGGGAGACTTTCCAGAAAGCTAGGGAGACAAATAGAGCTGAGTTGCTGGGTGTCTCAGGCTCTCCTCTGGGCTTCCCAACTTCCTAATGTGCAGCTGGATGATATCACCTAGCTTTGAAAAAAAAAACTCATTATTTTACTTTGAATATGTGCATGTGGGGGTGGGGTGGGAGTATGGTATATGGGCATGTTTCATGCAGGTGCTTAAAGAGATCAGAAGAGGGTGTCAGAGTCCTTGGAGCTGGAGTTACTGGTGGTTGTGAGCCACCAGAGAGGGGCATTGGGAATCAAGTTCTGGTCCTCTTCAAGACAGTACTTGCTATTAATTGCAAAACCCTTATCTCTCCAGCCCTTATCACTTACCTTTATAAAGTCTGTGTAGCGTGGTTTCAAATCCTAATTCATATATTTAGAAGCTCAAGGTCTCTCACAGAATTGTAGAAATGCTGAGGTGTTTTGTTTTGTTCTGCTTGAGACAGAGTCTCAAGTAGCCCAAGCTGCCCTCAAACTCAACTAGGTAGCAAGGACGACCTTGAACTTCTGATCCTTCTGCCTCCACCTCCCTGATGCTGGGATTATAGACATGCACCTCTACATCCATCTTACAGATATGTCTTTGATGAATAAAAACATTGAGATTTTATTGGCATACATATTGCCACTTCAATTAATAACTGCCAATTATTTGATAAATGAATTCTTTCAAAACATGGAGATCTGAAATCAAAGGGGATCTTGGTCGGTGACACCGGACAGCTCTTGGTCATCACGGTCTGGTCCAAGCATCTACAGATGTGCTGAGGTGCCCTGGCATGGTGGTTGATGGGAGAGAAGTGGCTTTCCTGAAACAGTTTCTACTTACCAAATCCAAGCTCCCACCCAACAGATACCAAGTCCTAATATGATCATTTCCACTTACAGAGAACACAGGCTGGTTGGCAGAGGTGAGGTGTCTACTCAGAAGTCCCCTTTCTGTCACTTTAATTCTAGGCTGAATGGCTTCAGGGCCAAACTGAAAATGGAGGTGACGAGTCCCCACAGGGCACTCAGTTCCTTTGAGTAGGCACTGAGAGGCTGCACCTGGTTGTTAGGTGCCAGGATATGGGGCAGCACACACCATTCTGGACCCTGAGGTTAAGGCATCGGGATCTGAGAAGTCAGGGGCTAGTGCAGGCTTCTCCTGGCAGATAGGGGTTTCTGAAATCTTCTAGGCCAGGTTGGGGTCCTGGAACACCCACAAGAGACCAGGGAGGGCTGAGGATGGAGCCAGGGAGCAGAAGAGAGGAGAAAAGCCTAGGCCAGCCTGGAGCAGAATCAGAAGTGCAAGGGGTGAGGGGAGAAGGGGAGCCCTTCTTCGGGCAGGAACCCGGGGGCCCCCCTCAGCGCAGGCCGGCAGCAAAGCGGTTCTGCAGATGGAAGGAATTAAGGGGGAGGGGGAGGGGGGAGGAGCCTATAGTGATAGCGAAAGGTGTGTGTGTGTGTGTGTGTGTGTGTGTGTGTGTATGTGTGTGTGTGGTTTGAGGGAGGCAAGGGAGAGAGAATGAAGCTTCAAACCAGACACTTTTAAAGAGGCGTTGGAGAACACCAAGACAGTCACAGAAATACAATCAGACTAACAGCAAGAAGAGGGAAGAGTGGAAAAAAAAGGTGTGAAAACGAATTAACTGGAGTGCCTGGGAAGTGATGGGAGCCA